AACGACTTGTTCTATGTAAAAAACACGAAGAATCAAAGAAGCCCGTGTAATTCGCGCTCTTGTCATTCAAATGGTAGTGTTGCATTACCTACAACTCACGTTTGCTTTATGCAAATTTGGTATTAGTACAGGTAATCACATGATTTCGAGTGCAATTTGGAATAAATAAGCACAAGTAAATTTTTTCAAAGGCTAACAAAATTTTTTGTTTGTGGTCTTTGAAAAAATTTACGAGTGCTTATTTATTCCAAGTTGCACGAGAAAAATCATGTGATTACTTATTAAGAGCGGATGTCTGTAAATATCGACCAGAAGTAGGACAAATAAAACTTTTGGAAAATCCCAAAAAAATTATGTAGACTACCCTTGGTGTTCTAGTTATGAAAATATAAATTTTCGTTTCATCGGATAAATATTTTGGCGATACGGCGAATGCCAATTTCGGGCGATTGACGGCCTCCGCCAGACCGTTTTTTCGTGCCTTTAGACCGGGCTACGAAAAGACCAGATTTGAATCGAATTCAAATATCATTCAACCCAAAAGGTTTCTTATCATATTAAACGGGTTTTAATACACATTTTGAGTGGTTATGTTCTCGAATTGATTGCAACTGAAATATTTTATGAATTTTTAAATATTTACAAAATTTTAAGGATTTTACGCGAGCAAAATATTGTCAAATTTCAAAGGCCTAAAATCACATCCGATACATGATTTCAAACACAAAAAGACATTCCACGTTAAAAAGTAATCTCTACGCTTTCAAAATAAGCTTTCAAAACTCTGGGCAACATATGAAATGAATTTTTGGGAACGCAAAATTCACGGAGCATTTAAGTGTAATTTGACCTTTCTGACTTGACAGATAAGTACATAAGGGGTTCGGCGCGACACAAATCAATCCTCCAACAAATGTTTCAGCCAAAATACGTTTAATTTAAGCAATCTCAAGTCCCACAGTGATACATAGACGCTTCATATATATTAGGTGAACTTTTTCATACCATTTTGTCGGCTGTGAATGAAGAACTCTTATCCTGGCCTTCAGGTATTTGGGTCAAGTCATGAAACAGCGAAGTTTTCAAAATCTACACCAAATATCTATCCTTTCTAGTATATAATCAGGCCTACAATTTATTTTTTGTACCTTGTGTCCTTGTTTGACTTCATTTCTGCGATGAAACTGAGACAAACCACTGCGAAATTCCCGCTCGCTCGAAATGACACGTGTCACGTGAAAGAGCCGTTTTAGACTCGATTGAGTTACGAAAACATGACACACAGCACAGGTAGCCCCACCCTCGCAGACCCAGGGGCAGATAGTGGGGGCGAGGCAAAGTCTAAACGCGCGGAAAATAAGGCACGAAGAAAAGTAAGGAACGGCGAGAAGAGCGAAAAACACAAGTTTTCTGGCACCAATCAGAAGCCAGAACGGCGGCGACCGTTTGGAACTGGTCTGGTAAGACATTGTCCCCAGGGGCTCTTCTCGCCGTTCTTTATTTTTCTTCGTGCCTTATTTTTCCGCGCGTTTAGACTTCCCTCGCCCCCACTATCTGCCCCTGGGTCTCAGAGGATGATAAAAACCAGGAAAACGGCCATAAATCGGCCCGTGGACCACACATGCAGGAGAGACGTAACACACATTTTAAGTAAGGTAAGCTGTTTTTTATTGAAATCCCTTCATTTTCGTAGGTTACAGAAACGATAGGTTTTTTTCCCATACAAATCCTTATATTTTGAATGTTACGCAACAATGCCGATGCTCGCCGATGCTCATATTTCGAGCTTGGCCTACCTGTGCACCCAGCGACTATTTCTGATTTGTGTGAAAAAAATTGCATGTCTAACCTACATGTTATAAGGTATGCCATTGAATGAGTAGACAATCTCAATTTTTTTTCTTACGATGTAGTTTTATCGATCGCAAACTTGTGATTCCCGAGCATGTCTTTTGATTCTATTAAACCGCGAAATGCAAATAACGTCTTCTCTCTTGTTGTTTGTTTTGGTTCAACACTTTTCCCCCGTCCTGATAGATCTGTCAGCTTAGGAAAAAACCTAATGCGTTTCGCTGTGGTTCTGCAACACGCTATCTTATATGGCCCATCATGTACAAAGAGCGTATAATTACAAGTAAAAAAAGCACGAGTTAGAAAATCGTGCAACGCTTGTATCTTGCACTTGCGACACCAATCTTTGTTAGTGGACTCTCGGTCTAAGCTAGTACACGTCTATTTGCTATTGTACCACGACATGTACAGCGTGCAAATATGGAGAACTAGTTTTAGGCGAGTTTGGTACAAGTACCAAATACACGAGCACTGAGTCAGGTGCGCATCGGGGGTGCAACACCGCCCGTAGGCTAGGTACGTTTTAAATCGCACTTTAAGATTAGGTTAAGCCGTCCACCAATTGCACTTTTGTAGTCATAAGGTAAAATGAGCGCACCGTCGACCTCAAGTTTTTCAGTTATTACTGTCACGTGTCATCGACGTAAAATATGGTTGCTTTACCTTTTTTTTGGCAATTTATAAAGCGAGCGCTGTTTGGGTTAGCCTACGTAGCATGCTAGGCCGCGCGAGGGGAACACGCGTCTTCGACATTTCTTCTTTCGCCGGACCGCTCGCGTACAATGCTGGCCGCGCAGTTCAGACTGTCAGATGAGAAAAGATAAATTCGGCAGATGGTACGATGAATAAACGAACCACAGTCAGTTACTTTCTAATTTTTGGCGTGCCGTATCATTTAATCCTTCACGGAAAATTTCGAATTCAGGGCTCGGAAATTAGGGCTTGGAAATTTGGTTGATGGGCTCCTGGTTGAGGGGGGGGTTTATTTTCGGTCCTAGGATTTTTTTGGGTTTCGTCGGGAATCCGAGAAGTCTGTGATGATAAAACTGCGTGGGAAAAAAATTGAAATTGCTCATTCAATGGCATACCTATAACATGAGGGTTAGAGATGTTTTTTTTTTTCACGCAAATCAGAAATAATCGCTGTTATGTCATGTTCACGTAACGCAATCTTAAACGACTCTTTCACGTGACAGGTGTCATGTCGAGTCAGAGGGAATTTCGCAGTGGTTTATCTCAGTTTCATTTCAGAAATGAAGTCAAACAAGGACACAAGGTACAAACAAATAAATTGTAGACCTGATTATATTCTAGAAAGGATGGATATTTGGTGTAGATTTTGAAAACTTCGCTGTTTCGTGATCGGAACTTGACCCAAATGTCTATATTGGCGAGGCGAGTTAAATGCACCTGAGGGCCAGGATAAGAGTTCTTCATTCACAGCTGACAAAATGGTATGAAACGTTCCACCTAATGCATATGAAGCGTCTATGTATCACTGTGGGACTTGAGATTGCTTAAATTAAATGTATTTTGGCCGAAACATTTCTTGGAGGATTAACTTGTGTCGCGCCGAACGTCTTATCTGTCAAGTCAGAAGGTCAAATTGCACTTAAGGTGACTCGACCCAGTTTTTTTTGGGGGGGTACCATCCTACTTTGAGGCTCTCTGGTATCCCCACCTTTACTTTTAACGTAAGTCTAACACAGAATGGATAACATATAGATCAATCTACAATATAACATAAAATTTTTGGCGATCAGAGTAAATGTCACGTGGTTATAATGCCACGCCCCTTTGAGGTCTGAGTCGAAAATCTGCTATTGCCGGCATTTTTTCGTGAAAATCTCTCGGCTACACATAGTGCGCATTAGTGCCTTGCGCTGAACAGACTTTCACCAAAATCGCAAAGACCCAATTCGAGAAATTCAGCGGTTTCCAAATTTAGGTCATAATTTATTCGAAAATGATAAGCAAACTTTACACGGATTATATCTAATAAACTATGAGATTCATCTCTTTATTTTGGGCATCGTTATAACAGATGGGTCCATGCAAGTCAGCAAAACGCTTTAGGGCCTTGTAAATGCGCGCGATTTCGAGCAAAGCAAACATATGGATATTAAAGTTTTCGCTATTTGTTGACGTTTGTCAGCGTTTAAGAGTCCTTCTCAGGAAAAAAGCATTTTCTTAAAAATTCGTAGTTTTTTTTCCTTCAAATTTTTTCAGGGCCACAATTGATTAACTAACTACCTGGACTCTGAATTTCATGGTCATTGAAAAACTGTGACTTTTATCTTCTATAAGCCCAAACTTGAGTAAACATTGAAGATGTTTAGCGTTTTGGCTGAGTTTGTGCTTTGGGAGTTGTCTATTGTTTCTATTCTGTCATTATACAGCATTCTTGTTCAGCACGCGTGCAATGACCACGCTTTTTTTTGCGTTCCCAAAAATTCATTTCATATGTTGCCCAGAGTTTTGAAAGCTTATTTTGAAAGCTTAGAGATTGCTTTTTAACGTGGAATGTCTTTTTGTGTTTGAAATCATGTATCGGATGTGATTTTAGGCCTTTGAAATTTGACAATATTTTGCTCTCGTAAAATCCTTAAAATTTTGTAAATATTTAAAAATTCATAAAATATTTCAGTTGCAATCAATTCGAGAACATAACCACTAAAAATGTGTATTAACACTCGTTTAATATGATAAGAAGCTTTTTGGGTGGAGTGATATTTGAATTCGATTCAAATCGTGGTCTTTTCGTAGCCCGGTCTACAGTCCCGAAAAAGCGGTCTGGCGGTTGCCTTCAATCACCCGAAATTGGCATTCGCGTATCGCCAAAATATTTATCCAATGAAACTAAAATTTATATTTTCATAGCTAGAATACCTAGGGTAGTCTACATGATTGTTTGGGGATTTTTCCCAAATTTTATTTTTCCCACTACTGGTCAATATTTACAGACATCCGCTCTTAATAATATTCATGAAAAAAAATGCGAGATAGCTTTAAAATCACGTAAACCACGTGCAAAAATAATTTATTCAAGTGCTGCAAATATCATCACACGTGCAGTCAAAACAACATTTTTCTCGACGTTTTTAAAGTTTACAAGCCGCAGAAACGGGCTAAACAGTTCATGGAATCGTTCAATCTGTATCGGAGTCACTTTCGATGAAACGCAATCGCCGTTTGCAAGGGCGAATGGTAGGCGAAGTCTTGTTGTTGAGGTTGAATGTTACATTGCAGTTGGTGAAGGAATTCATTACATTCTGCGCTTGTGAACTCGTCTTATGAGGAATTACTGCACTTGAAGTACAAGGACCAGGTGTATTACCCGCTGGCTTCGGTGTGCTGTTCTTTCGTGAGATGGCCCACGAAAGCTGTCGCTGTTCGTCTTCGTCTGCTTCATCGTAGTCATCTAAAGATTGGATATTTCTGTGACCAGTGACTTTTGCAATTGCCGACCTTTCGAGATTCGCCTTTTTCATTTTGCTGACTACTGTTTTACGGGCACTGTGATTGGAAAACCGCTTCTCAGATGTCTCAAGGCTGGTTCCGGAGATGATGCTCTTCATCATGGAGTTGATTTTATTTTCTCCCATGGGCTGTACCTTGTACCAAATTTCGTCGTCGGCTCGTCTGTTGTACTTTATCGAGAGATAAAATGGACCACTCGTCCTCAGATTGGGAGGTCTACGGCTAATGTACTGACGAAATAAAGCAACTGGACATTTTCCTTCCCCGGTCTGAAACATTTTGGGCTGGAACTGTCTTGGCTTTGCACTCAAACCTCCAGGTCTTGTTTTCGTAGGCCCTTCTGCAAACTCAACAAATTCGATGCCGTCGTCACCGTTCATGATTCTGAAATCCTCCAGTCTCATTCCGTGGTGTTCGTGCCTTCCACGAAGACCAAAGTGTTGGGTAAGGAGCCAGCACATTGTTTGAATTAAAGATTCTGGGTTATTACCTCCGAGTTTTCCGCTCTTCCAGAGAATTTCTTCTTCCTCCTCTGATACTTGTCGAGCTTTGTTTGGGCGCTTACCACGGCCAGCCAAGCGAAGCTGTTTCGCTTTGCCTTCCAACACCTGTTTAGACGAACTAAATTCTCGGTCACGTACAATGGACAAGGTGTAGCCTTTGTTCTTTAAGTGTCTGTCAAGCGATGCCATCATTACTTTGAGGCTTTCTGGTTCATAATCTTCACCTTGTTTATTTTTTACTTCGGCGTAGAAATGCTCGAGCAAAGTGTTAAGCTCAGCCGGCTCATAATTTTCTATTTCATCTGTAATTTTCTTCTCTAAGCACCACTTCTTCCAAACAGAGAGCCAAGAATCGGTTCTTTTTGCAGTGTTTTCGTTTTTGGAGCAGTTTTTCAGCTCCTCTATAGTTGTTGCGGTCGCAAAAGCAAATCTGCTACAAACGCCAGCCATTGCGGTTTTTGCTCGAAACTGGTCAAGAGCGGATCCAAATTTTGCGCCATTCAGATGGCGCACTTGATTGGCTCTCAGTGAGTTCCTTTGTTTATTAACCAATCAGAATGCCTCGTTTGTTACCTCTTTTCTGCACTAAATTACCTTTTTTCTGCACTGTGTTACCAAAAAACTGCATTTCTCTTAGCCAATCACAATCGAGGAATTTTTTCATGTGTATTATTAAGAATGTAATCTGAGAATTGCAACTAGAAATAGAATCACTGTATTGATTGTGAAAATCCTGAGGGAAAGAGCCGTGATTTGCCGTAATGTTTTCCTTTTTTTATTAAAACTGTGGAATAGGACGTTAGATTTTCTTCATTTTCGCTTATATTCTGTAAGTAATATACTTGAACAAAACCATTCTCAAAAAAGAGGCTGACAAGCAGAAGTAACGAAGTAAGCTGAGTTGTACAAGTTAAGATATAGATAATAGTGTGTTAAGAATTCTACCGTGTTAAGGAAACAAAGGAACATAGCGTGTTAAAAAAACAAAGAATTCTAGCGGGTTATAAAAACAAAGCTCTACCGTGTTAACCAGATATGAACAATGGCTACGAACGCGCTTCCCAGAATCAATTGTTTTTATGCGCATATCCGCACGGTAAGCGTGTCATGCCATTAGTGTGCTCGCTTGTTATAACGTGCCGTGTGCGTGCGTTCACCTTATTCCTTGAAATCCCGTGGAGGGTCACATTTGGTGTGGCTAGTTCGTTTGAGTTTAATTGGTAAACTTTGGCAGAGTTTTCCTTCGTTGTTGTTTTCAGGTAAGACGCTTGAAGTGAACTTTGATATAACGGCATTACTACAAAATACAGAGCTATTTGCCTAGTTATTAGCTTTTTTTACTTTTTTTTTGTTAGTCCAGTATATTACTAACATAGATCTCGTCGGCCCGTCACTGAGTGGAATGTGAATGCTCGTCTAGTAAGACAAGAACTTAAAATGAACCCATTTCCTCTTTCCCTCAAGATGCCCAACCATTAAGGTGTTTCGATACAGTTTTTCAGAGGCCATACCGATATTTTTCAGTCGCCTTAAAAGTGGTTTTTTCCTTGTCCGATCGCTACAAAATTTTCACCAGTAATTGGCTATGGATTAAAATTTGTGAAAATGCAGTTTTAAGTAAAATCGATACTACTATGACAACAATGAACACAAAACTTTGAAATTGATAAAAGCCGAATTTTGTGTGATCTAGACCAGCTTCTGAAAATCCAACGCTAGGAACTGAAAGTTTGGTGTTTAGCAAACAATCTTCGTAAGAAGTAAAAAATTCTGTATGTTTGAATTCGACTAAAACGAAAATATATTTCAAACCTTAAATTTTCAATAGCCGTGATAGATTATTTAATAAAAACGTTATAAATGACTCAAATTATTCTTAAGTAGCGTCAGAATGCTGCTTAATATCATGTTTTAATGGTAGGAAATTTTGGTTTATTTTCGTTCTTGCGATCTTGAAAACTAACCCGTTTTCTTAGCACCTGCATAAGTGCAACTTCATTCAAGAATTGGACTTTTAGCGCTTTTTTGTGTATCTCTGAAACGACTCGAACGAAATTTTTTAAAATCTCATCCCATAATCTTCATAATGTATATAATAATGTCTGAAACTTTCATTAAGATTGATTCACTGCAACACCTTGAAATTTCAAGACAAACCTATCCTACGAACCGGTCAAAAATCTGCGCTACAAAATTCACTGTTTTGACGTTATGCTAATTTTTCCAAATTAATGCGGACAATACATATATCCATGACCAGTACATTTCAGTGTGAGTATTGTCAATGTTTTACATTCAAAAGATGCGATAAATTCAAACTAAAATGTACTAGTCATGGAGGTATGTATAGTGCGCATTATTTTGGAAAAATTAGCATAACGTCAAAACAGTGAATGTTGTAACGCAGATTTTTGACCGGTAAGTAGGATAGGTTTGTCTTGAAATTTCAAGGTGTTGCAGTGAATGAATCTTAATGAAAGTTTCAGATATTATTATATACATTATGAAGATTATGTGAAGAGATTTAAAAAAAATTCGTTCGCGTCGTTTCAGATATGTACAAAAAAGCGCTAAAAGTCCAAATTTTGAATGAAGTAGCGCTTATACAGGTGGTGAGAAAACGGGTTAGTTTTCAAGATCACAAGAACGAAAATAAACCAAAATTTCCTACCATTAAAATATGATATTAAGCAGCATTTTGATGCTACTTAAGAATAATTTGAGTCATTTATAACGTTTTTATTAAATAATCTATCATGGCTATTGAAAATTTAAGGTTTGAAATATATTTTCGTTTAAGTCGAATTCAAACATACAGAATTTTTTACTTCTTACGGAGATTGTTTGCTAAACACCAAACTTTCAGTTTCTAGCGTTGGATTTTCAGAAGCTGGTCTAGATCACACAAAATTCGGCTTTTATCAATTTCAAAGTTTTTGTCTATTGTTGTCATAGTAATATCGATTTTACTTAAAACTGCATTTTCACAAATTTCAATCCATAGCCAGTTACTGGTGAAAATTTCATAGCGATCGGACAAGGAAAAAACCACTTTTAAGGCGATTGAAAAATATCGGTATGGCGTCTGAAAAAGTGTATCGAAACACCTTAAGAGCGGATGTCAGTAAATATCGACCAGAGGTCTACAAAAGTGAAAAATTGAAAACCCTAAAAAAAATTCACAAAGTAGCACTAGGTAAGCTATTAACATAAATGTAATTTTTACTTCGATCCGATAATTATTTTCCACGTACGGGGGGGTTATTGGTTTCGCGGCTCTCCGACCGGGTTTTCCAGGCCCGAGACCATGTGTCACAAAAAAATCGTTTTAAAATTCAAATCCATTGTAATGTGGACAACAAATAACTTATTCAGAAGAGTACTTAGTTGCACACATTCTAAGTGGTGATTTACTCAGTTTGAACGAAAGTGTAATATTTTGGAGATTTTTCATTATTTTCAATATTTTGAACGTTTTCTTTCAATGAAAAAATGGCAAATTTCAAAGCCCAAAATCGTCAACTGGTACCTCGATTTCACTAACGAGTCTTATATCACGTTAAAGAGCGTTATCTCTTCTTTCAAAATCTGTTTTCAAAAGTACGGGCAACTTAAAAGAAAATGTTTGAGGCCAAAAAATACAAGTAGTACTTTTCTGAAATTTGAGCTTTCCAGACGCGGCGGGCCGATGCTAAAAACTTGGAAAAATACAGTAAGAAATCAGTTTGAGTAATAGTGGTTTCATGTTATCAGCTTTCAGAAACCAAGACGTGTTTATCGAGCGATCTGATAAAATTTAAAGCCGTTTTCCAACAAGAAAAGCAGAGTTTAGCCATCTTCTGCTACCAAACGCACGAGTGACGTAAGGTTGTCAAAGGGCAAAGCACAATAATAAACTTCAAAAAGCACAATGTTTCTGCGTCCAGGAATTATACTTTAGCGGACAGAACATTGCCTACGAGTGTATGTTTCATACCTTAGCATGGGTTTCCTAGATACTGGAAATAAAAAACATCAAGGACAGCATCGGCAAGAGCATCTTCGGCTGCTCTCAAACGACGGAGATTGCGTTACTTTTCACAGATTGACCGCTTACCACCTGTTTTTGGGCTCGCATTTCGACGGAACGCTTGCCTCGAGAGGCGCACGGCACGGATCTGAACTCTACTTCACGAGACATTGAGCTGAATTTATCGGAAATATGCCACCACCACCAACAACATGAGCTTTTTTCGGGTATTTGTCGTTTTTTATGCGAAAAGTTCGGGTAAGCAGATTCTCGCAAAAACCATTTGGCTTAAAAAATGTGTTTAAAAGCCTACCCTGGATTTGAAGCAAAAAGTATTTCCTCGAAATAAGCTAAAAATACCCAATTCACGCGGTGAAAAAATGGATGATTATGGAAGGATTATCGAATTCTTGCCTAACCTGAGGGATTTCCCGTGATGTAGGATTAGGGCTAGGAAAAAAGCCCATAACCTGCTCCTGTCGTTGTGAATTTCCTCAAGATCAAAAATTTCAGTAAGAACCGAAAACAACAGCTTAAAGGAGGTGCACACACCTTGAACTAGCTAGGGAAAAGGGGCTTCTGATTGAGCTAAACTGTCATTGATGCACGGTGCAATTAGGTAGACCTGTTACTATCCCCCGCGCAATCACATGGGGAGTACTTTGAAGCGGTCCTCTCGGGGACTTTCGGGGGTAGGGGGCGGGGCAAATCGAAAATAACTTCTCTTTGTTTTTGTGAAGTACATCATTTCTCGCACAGTTGACAAGGTGACGGCGGACTCCGTACCTTTGGAAAGGCCCTTTTGAAACATGTCGTGGCAACATGCAGGACATCACGAAATTAACGTCAACACCTTGAATCAACTCCATGAACAGGGAGAGGCGATAAGTCCCATCTTAAAAGATGCTTGATGTCTAGACGTGAATAGTCTGTCCACAGTCATTTTTCATTTTGTATTTCGGGACCATTTGACAGCGTACGGGTGAACCGGAGTGCAGTAACGAGCCCTAACCCCACCCCATTGCCCTTGCGGTCAATAAATCATCGCGTTTTTCATTTTTTTTATGCGCGTTCGAGAACCTCCAAAGGGAATATTGAGGGTCTTTGTACAGTTTCAGTTTATTTTACCGACAAAAAAGAACAAAACAAAGCAAAAGACAAGTATACAGAAACACGCAGAAGCAATGTGGTGAGGAAGCCCAAAAAGAAACCATAAGGCTTTCGTTCGTTTAGCGTCGAATAGGTTTCCTGGTTTTGGGCGGGTCGGTCGGTGGGGTAAAAAAAAAAAATAACAAGAAATCTGAGAACGGGAGGCCTGAAAAACCAGCATCATTGCCGAATCAATTGCACAAACTCAATATGGCGGAAAATTTGATGGTCAATTTCATAAAAAAAGGCCCCAAAAGGGTAAAAAGCAAAGAGGATACACCAACGAACGTTT